ATTGCTGCTGAGCCACGTGGGGGAAAGGACAGGAGAATCCTTGCACTCCTTGATGTCACTCCATAATGTTCTTGTCATCTGGGTAAACCTTGCCTACACACCACCTTGCCTTGTGTGGGTCACTTTCCCATGCCCCCCAGCTGTTTCAGAATCTTCCCCCTAGCTCTTAGAGAAGTGCATTAGGGAGCAAGCCTTACTTTCTACTTCTTAAAGATAATAGGAGCCATCGTGAACTGATTTATACTGGAAAACATTTCTTCCTATTGCAAGGGAGGAAGTTCCTTCTTCCTGTCTAAGTATGTTGGCGTATACTTTATCATGGATGTCTAGGTATGTTTGCAAATGAAAAGGGGGACTCTATTAATAATTACTCCAGCACAACATGTGTACACTAGAACTGCTCTGGGCAAACAAGGACACGTGGTCACCTTCAGGATAAGATTTACCATTCCATTTACCCCTGGAACACACCCTTTTATATTCTGAGACATCATATCCCATTAGGGTTTACACTCTCATCCACATATCACCTTTTCCTTCTGTGGAGTTCCTCATTACTTTTTTATGACTCAATTTTTAATATTATTTCTATCTCTTTTATCAACCAGAGAAAAATGGAAAAATAGGTGATGATTCTGATAGCCAATATTGATCATTTACAAGGGACCAGACATTCTGCTAAGCATCATTAGCACCTTACCTTGGGAATACAACAAACCTCACGTAACAGATGAGAAAATTGAGAGAGAGGGAGGTTAATTTTTCACTTGACTCACCTAGAGAGAGGTGCTAGTTATTTATATTTTAAAGCAAAATCTGGTGTTATTTTAGGTCAAGAAAAATCCCATGACTTAGTGAACAGAATGCCTATATCTCCTTGGATTCTAATTTCTCATCGAGGATCTCTCAATCCTAGTTGTTGAACTAGCTTATTTAAAAAAAATGTTTTAATAAAAATATTTGGACAGTGTAACTCATCAAATGAGTACCATTATTTCTTACTCATTTTAGTCAATGTTTTATGTCTCTCCACTCTGACAGGGCACAATTTGAAAAACATGAAATACCTTTAAACAAGTTGCATATATATTTTTTAAAGCCATAAAGCTTATATGCTGAATAAAATAAAAAGATTGTTTCCAATGTTATAAACAAGAGAAGATCATCCAACCCAAGGAAGAAACTCTAAAATGGTATTCTGAGTAGTGTTATAGTAAATTTTGCCTGTTTGGGTCCAAATTACCAATGATTGCAGACAGTCGATGGAAGGTGGCCTATTATACTAGTGAAAGTTTCTCCTTTCATATTAAACTTTTCTGTTCTCACAGTGATGACCTCACGGTCCGATGGCCAGAATAGCTGAGGGGCCTGGACCTCTGCTTTCACAAACTAAATTATACTCTTCACAGAAAAAAAAAATAAGAAGTTTTCTGTTCACAGTGTGATGGAAACACATTTAGTTCTGACCTTCAACTTCCAGTTTCACCAGTTTGGAATATGCCGTCCCAAGGCTGTTTTTTGCCACACATCGATAATGTCCCGCATCTTCTTTTTGTACATTGTGGATCCTCAAACTCCCGGATTCCAGAACCGCAATGCGGGCATTTTCCTGCCAGAAATGGGGATACGAAATTTAAGGCATCATGCTCAATCAAGGACACGCTTGCTGTAGTTTATTAAGTCATTGTTGTCACTCTGATCATCAGCGACATGAACACTGACTGAGCATCTATTATGGATCACAATGTCAAATAGGAATGTCCAAAAGACAAAATAAAACAAAAAACCACTGCCCTCCAGCTGATTCGTGTGCCCAGTGGCCCCGTGTGACTGGGTGGCAGCGCCCTGTGAGGCTTTCTAAACTGTAACTCTTCATGGACACAGACGGCCTCTTCTTTCTCCTGGGAGGAATGGCTGGTAGGTTTGAGCAGCTGACCTTCCAGTTAGCAGCCTTGTTTTTAACTCACGGAGACTCCAGGGCTCCTGAGATATTACAAAATTACTAAAATTAATCTTCTAAATTACCTCAGGAGCAATAGTTTATTTTCTCTCACTACAGAAGGGCATCAAGATTTACGACTTGACTTGCTAGACGTTACAGTAGGCCTATCTGATTGAACATAGTGCTTTAACTATATGGCCCTGTGCCTCCTTATGGGAATGTATGTCCTTTGACAAATTGGAAGATCCTACAAATAATAACAATTTTAATTTTAATTTAAAAGATTACAATTACCTTTTCCTTTATGGACTCTAAATTCAGTTGCACACATAAAGCCACTCCTGTTTTCATTGTAGAAAATAGACCCAGTATTTATCAGAAAAGGAGGACCGGAGAGCTAGACCATGATAAACCATTTTAGCACTACTTGATTTAGCTTCAATCAACAAAGCTAGTTAATTTTTGCACTTTTAAAATTAATTAACATATATTGAGATAGACTGTGCTAGGTATGGTAAGATGAAAATCAGACTGCCGGCGGTGACCTTACTGGGTTCATAGTTGGTAGGCGGTAAGTGTGGAAAGAGATATTGATGATGCCATACAGTAATCAATGAACATATTGTGGATAAGATAGAAAAGCAGTATAAACTAAACTTGGATAATAAAATTTTAATTGCTCCTCTATGTAAGTAGGAGGCACCAAGGTGCTTGTTCACCTATCTCATATCTCTAGGCTCTCACTTTACACCAGAGGGTTTGTTTTTATGTATTGTCTTCCAAATAGATTTCTCCTCCCAGAAATGATCAGTTCTAAGACCTGTATTTTCCTTAATGTAGAAAAAAAGGAAGGAAAAAACAAATAAACAAACCATAAACCACCCAAGAAACAAAGATTCTAGCTATGTTTTCTTTTCCATCTCTAGCACTACTAATTCTGATCTCTTTGGTTTTCTCCAAATAGCTCTAATTGGGGTACCTTACAATTCACATGTATGAAAACAGAAATACTTGAGTTTGGTTGGAAAACATAATTATATATATATTTTTTAATTGTGTAGGTGAGTTTAGAACAGAGTGCTAAAATATGTTCTAAAATACATCTCATATACATGTTATATCATGATGATCACTTACCCTGAGAGCAGTGTCTCCCTTGATCCACGATACTGATGGTTTGGGATTGCCCATGGTCGTACATGGTAGAACTGCCTTTAATCCCTCTGTTATTTTTACATTTATGGGAGGACGAGTTATTTTTGGTTCTGAAGGGAATAATAATTTCCAATTAAAAATGCAATGTGACCATACCAACCTTAGGAGTTCCAACTTTCTATTTAATTCTAGATACCTGCATTAGAACATTTACATATTACAAATAGAATTAACCCCCATTCATCTGTCCTATAAGTAAGTACAAGATCCATCTGAAATCAGCAATATCTCTTATTCCTTGTCCTTTTCCTAATCCAGCCTGAACGCTGGCCACTCCCTCTCAATGTACTGAAGACTGTGGCAACAGGTTTAGAAGAAGGATTGTTAACATCCGTGATACGCAAGATGATACAAACTTGCTTACTGAAGGCAAAGAAGCCCTGAAGCACTCAATGTAAAGAAGACCAAAATCCTCACAACTGGATCAAGAGTAACATAATAAATGGAGAAAAGGGTGAAGTTGTCAGAGGCGTTTCTTGTGCTTGGACCCATAATCAATGCTCATGGAAGGCAGCAGTCGAGAGATCAAAGGACCAGCTGCATTAGGTAAATCTGCTGCACCTCTTTAGAATATTGAAAAGCAAGAATGTTACTAAGAAGACTAAGGTGTGCCTAACCCAAGCCATGATCTTTTCAGTCACGTCATGTGCACGTGAAAGTCGGACACTGAAAAAGGAAGACTGGAGAAGAATTACGGTGCTGGAGAAGAATATTGATCTGTCTTGTAAGAGGTATGGTCAGAGTGCTCTTCAGAGGCAAAGATGGCAAGACTTAATCTGACATAATTTGGACATAAGTTGGTCAGGAGAGACCAGGCCTTAGAGAAGGAAACCATATTTGCTTAAAGCAGAAGAGCAGCAAAAAGCCAGGAAGGCTCTCAGTGGGGCAGATCAGTTCCTTCTGTTGTGCATAATGTGGCTATCGGTCGGAACCAACTCATGGCAGGTCACAGCATCTGTCCGACGTAGTCACTATGAGTCACTTCAGCTGGACGATAATGAGCTTGGTTGTTGGAATATACAGAAGCGTTGACAAGATACCACTACTGTTTTACTGAAAACATTCGGAAATTAATTTAAACTATAATTCTTTCCTTAGTGCTCTAAAGTTACATCAGCAAAACAGAGGACTGTCTTCCCAGGAGAGACAGCTGAGGATTGGGTACAGTTACTGTTACTGTCAGGTCGCATGTCATGATCAGCATGATCTGTGTTCTTCTCCTTCCACCTCAATCATGTGCACGCTAGCAGGGGATATGGGTGGGTGTGGTAAGTGGTGTTTGCCAAGGTTGCATGGCCTAAGGGTTTTTGATGAAGTCATTTATTGTCATGTGGAATTGGTATTGCGCTGCATTATGAACAGGGAATACATGCACTTTGCTACTAGCCTTACGTGAAAGTGTTTTTGTCATATGAGTACTGTAGAAAGCTCAGGTTAGGGGTGATATTTTTTTTTTATTTCTTGCATTTCCTGAATTCAGTGTCTATGTCAAGTCTGAGTCACAGATAATGCCTCCCACGGGTCTTCAAACTTTTTAAACAGTTCACTGTCCTTCAGACCCGTTGGAGGGCTGGACTATAGTTTTAAAAAAACTATGAACAAATTCCTATGCACACTGCACATATCTTATTTTGAAGTAAAAAAAACAAATGGGGCAAAAACAACCGGCGGGCCGGATAAATGTCCTCAGCGGGCCAAGGACCCCTGCTCCAGAACTGTGTTCAAATTCACTGTCTCCTACCTTCTCAGTGAGAGTTGTGGACATCGGTGGAGTGAGGTTAGAAGACAGAGAAGAGTCCATGCGGGAATTTGATTATAAAAGTAAGTCAGGAATGAGTAAGGTATTGATTAGGTGTTAGGTAGCATCCCATGGGTGCCATCAAGTGGGTACTGATTCATAGTGACCCTATGTGCCACAGAGAGAAACACTGCCCAGCCCTTTGCCATTTTCACAATTGTTGTGTCTCAGCCCAGTGTTGAAGCCATGGTGTCAATCCATCTTGTTGCGAGCTCTTCCTCTTATTCACTGTCCGTCTGCTTTACTAAGCATGCTATCATTTTCTAGGGGCTGTCTCTCCTAAAAATATGTCCTCATTTCTGAAGAACATGCTGACTATACTTCTGATATAGACTTCTTAGTATTTTGGCACTCCAGTGAACTTTGAATATTCTTTACCAGCACCATAATTTAAATGCATCACTTTTTCTTCGATCTTCCTTATGCAATGCCCAACTTTCACAAGCATATTAGGCACGCCTTAGTCCTCAAAGTGACAGCCTTGATTTTTCAACACAAATCTTGTGCAGCAGATTTGCCCAATGCAATACATGGTTTGAGTTGACTGCTGCTTCCATGAGCACTGATAGTGGATCCAAGCAAGGTAAAATCCTTGCCAATGTCAATCTTTTCTCTTATTTTTATGTTACACAATGGTCACGTTGTGAGAATTTTTGTTTTCTTTACATTGGATTTTAATCCATATTGAGGGCTGTACTCCTTGATCTTCATCAACAAGTGCTTCAACACTCCTAATTTTCAGCAATCACTGTTGTGCGGCTGCGTATCAAAGGTTGTCAATATACCTTCCTCTAATTCTGATGCTGCATTATGCCTCCTATAGTCCATTTCTCAGGTGATTTTATCAGCATACAGTTTGAATAAGTACTTTAAAAGTATGCCACCCTGACACACACCTTTCCTAATTTTAAATCACTCAGTATCCCCTCGGTCTAGATCTATGTACAGGTTCTGCATGAGCACAATGAAGTGTTCTAGAATTCCCATTCTTCTCATGGCTATTCATAATTTATATTGATCTACACAGTTGAGTGCCTTTGCATGGTCAATATTATACAAGTAAACACCTTCCTGGTATTTCATGCTTTGAGTCAAGATCGGTCTGATGTCAACAATGCTACATAGCTCCTGTGCCGTGTCGCCCCCCTGGAACGTTTGGAAGCTCCCTATCAATGTCCTCCTGTAACAGTTTCTGAATTAGCTTTAGCAACATTGTACTTCCATGTGGTATTAATATTGTTCTTTAATTTTCACACTCTGTTAGATCAACTCTCTTTGGAATGGTTAAAAATATGGAATTCTTGCAGTCAGTTGGCCAGGTCACTGTCTTCCCAAATTTTGAGGCATAAGTGAGTGAGGGCTTCCAGGGCTTCGTCAGCTGATTGAAACATTTCTGTGGCATTCCATCCGATCCCTGAACTGTTATGTTGTTACTGCACCAGTGCGGCTTGGAATTCTTCCCTCAATACAATCTGTTCTTGACCATATGCTACTTCTTGGAATAGTGAGTAATTCTTTTCGGGACAGTGACTCTGTCTTCGGTCACGTCATTCCACCTTTTACATACAGAATCCTTCAATATTGCCAGCTTTGGGGTTTTTTTCCTTCAGTTCTTTCGTCTTGGGATATGTTGAGTGTGCTCTTCCTCTTGACTTGGTAGTCCTAGTTCTTGTCACGTTTCATTCTAATACTTTGCCTTCTTGCCTGCCTTGTGAACCTTTCGGTTCACCTCTTTTAAACTCAAGAACACGTAGGACCATCGAACAGTGAAATACTTAAAGGTATTCTATCCTTACAGGCAAGCCGTTTTAGTTAACAAATGACAGAATTCCAATTTCTTCACTTGACTCTCTCATTGCCCCATATGCTAAAAGAAAAATCTGCTTCTAAGTACATCCCCCAAATTACTAACAGGGCCCTCAAATCAGCCGCCCCTCAAAGCCCCACTCACAACTTATTGTAATTATTCTAGAACTTCATTGATACATACAATCAAAGCATAAAAGAAGAAACGTTCCAGAAAAAAATTCATCAACATAAATAAGGGACCAAAATCAAATAAAAACCTATCTTAAAGAAAACAGTGGGGGAGAGGAATCAGAAGGGAGAAGAAAACACATTTTAACAATTCATTAGGGATATCCTTAGAGAGATCTGAGTTAGTATTGTATTATATGAATAGAAATTTGAGAAGTTTTAGAAATTAACAATATGGGTTTAAAGATAAAAATGCTCAGTAGAAGGACAAAATAACAGAATGGTCATACTGAAGACCAACTTTATGTTAGAAAATGTTGGAAAAAATCTCTGAGAAGATAGAGCTTCAAGGTTTTGCTTTGACTAAACCTTATCTTGCTGCTGAACACGCAGGTCATGGAGGCTTGCTTCAAAATGTACCGAATCAACATGAAAATCACGAAGTGTTTCTCTTTCTCACTCACTCATCTTCACTTGAAGAGCCGCGCAGCTCTCGACAGCCCCTCCCACACCATTGTTGGCTGTGCAGCAGTAAATGCCGTCGTCACTGTCTTCCACACTCAGGATGGTGAGGAGCTGCCCGTTCTCCCGAATGCTGTACCGAGTATCAAAGAGCCTGCAGGGAGCACAGGATAAGGTCAGAGTAATGCTTCAGTCTGCGGTTCTATGAATATGGTTAATTATCAATCCGATGGCTTGCCAATGGAGGAAGCAGCATAAAAGTTAGGAGGAAACTTGAATGACTTCTGAACAATAGACCAAAAATAGCTCGTAGAATAAAACTGACATTATCATCTTTCCTAGGCTTCAATTATTCAAATACCAGGGTTTTCAAAAGTTTTCCAAAGATGACATCTACTAATAAGACCAATTATAAATGTGTAAATTTAACTTTATTTAGGCAAGTATAATGCAACCCAAATATACAAAATCATCTAGCCATAATTACTGGGAAGTTGCTACTAAAAAATGAATACAAAGACATATAAATGTATCCAGCAGAAAGGCTTTTATTATAGTTGTAACTACTAATTGAATAGCCATTCATTCCTTACGTGCTTGCCGGGTGCCCAACCACTCTCAGCCATTGTTTTCCTTACTCAGGCTACATCAGGAAACCAAACCCTTTCACAGGACATACTTTGCAAACACTACCTCCTTTCCTTAAATGCAGACGGTTTGTTCAGAAGGAAATCAAAGGAACAGAAAGAACAATTTGAGGGGAAGCATCATTGTAAAAAAGTGGGTGTACGATCAAATAAGATCCTTTATGCAAAATGTGTGTGGTACACACAGTAATGGCTTCCCAAAGATCTGTTTCCGAATCCCTTGAATCTGTCGTAAATACGCTACTTGACGTGATAAGTGAACTTGGCAGATGGGATGAAATGAAGGATTCTTAAGGAGATTATTCTGGATTCCGTGCATGAGTCCCGAGGGCCTCAGAAGATGGAATGGGAAGCAGAAGAGTCCGAGGAAAAGACAGGATAACAGACGTAGACATGGGAGAGACCTCATGGCTGTCTTGGAAGCAGGAGACAGAACCACAAACCGAGGGATACTGGCGCCTCCTCGAAACAAGAAAAGCAAACCAGCAACAAGAAATCCGGTTAGCTCCTCTGCGAGGCCCCAGTTAGAACATTGCCAGGCTAGCACCTAGATTTTAGCTTCACTAGAACCAGAACCAGAACTCTTTCTGACCTCCAGAACGCTTGAGATAATAATTTTGTGTTGTTTTGAAAGCCACAAACGTCTGTGATCACATTTGGTACAAATGCAACAGGAAGCATTTTTCATTACGTTTCATTACTGAGAGGAGTGATAGTGCTGTGACACATACTTTGAAAATACGTAACTGTTGACATCCATGGACAGATCTTACAGTAAGAGCCTGATTGGGCTGGCTGGTTTTCAGCACAGAGAATTGTAGGGATTCCTGAGTGAGCTTGGCGTGGGAGGGGAGGGGCAGGTGCTAATGAACCCAGCCCATTGTGGCTAGGGATAAGAAAGAGAAGGGGCTTGTTGGCTTAAAGTGCAGGGAGGTGTGTGGACTCCCAGCCCACTGCAGGTACCACTGACCCAGCCTCCAGGAGCTAGGGAAAAACCCAGCTGAAAGGAGAGAATGACTTTGACACCATGGGCTGCTGCAACTTCCGGCAATGTGATGACTTGTTCGGGCTGGAGTTAGTTTATGGGTGTGGATGCTCCAAATCCCTACCTGCATAGAAGATGCTTCAGATAAAGGAGTATGCTCATCTCCTCAGAATACTGATTTAAAAGGGAAGGGTAATTTGGAAATGTGGGTGGGAGAGAGGAGACAAAGGCACAAAGTGACAAGGGCTCACATTCTTTCATGGTACACTTACACACTACCTAAGGGAGATTCCTCACCAAGAATAGTCGTTTTCTGATGGGTCTAGGGAAGAGAGGGTGAGATACGATGCTATCTTATCTTAAGATACGGGATAAGGTGTGGGCGTTTACTATTATCAGGGTTAATTGTGATTGTAATAACTGGAGTTATAGAAGCTGTCCATGTGAAAGATGGAGTAAGGAGCAGGCACTGGAGTCTGGGGTGCAGTGGCTAGACCTCATGTGGCCCTGAGAATCTCAGAACAAGGGAATCATCATTAATTGAAATTTTATCAGAGGCTAGAAGGGTGAAGCTGAGATACATTTTGGAGAATCTGACCAGATAAAAAGGATACAACACGCTGGGGCCCAAGTGACCTTCCCTTCGGACTCTTCGCCCTCCTTAAGGATTAATTGTCAATGACTGTTTCGGACTGTCAAAATGGCCAGAGGGTGCAGAACTGATCCTTCAAGAATGACAGTGTCAATGGTTAGAAGGTCCAGGGGGTAGCTTGTAGTCCAGTGAATTACTTGATCATGGCTCTTCTAGCCATAGTCTTTGTGACTCCCACCAAAATCCTGGTTGGGAGCAAATATGATGGGCTGACAGCCCATCAAGGAGATTGGATAGTTTGCTAATAATATAAATAAGGTTTGTGAACTTCTTGTGGGGCGGACCAATGCAAAATGTTTAAAACCCTAATGTGTGGCTTGGTGCATTTCGCCATCCGTTAGGCGTAAAATGAGACACCCTCAAGGCAGAAAGGTGGCATCTGACAACCATCAAGAAAGAAGAACGAGGAGCAGAATGGTCCTACGACCCAAGAGCCTTGCTCTGGAACCCCCCTGACCCAAGAAACACATGGCTGTGACATTGGAGACAGAAAGGGACGAAGAGAAGCAGTGGGGGAAATATAGCAACAGTAGTGCAACAGAATCAAGAGTCCTGATTAGGACAGGGAAGTGGGCTTCCAGGCCCCTGGAGTGGGAAAACTGACTCCTTTTGGCCTGGAGGCTTGCTGATGAAATGGGGTGCCACCAGGCACTTAGTAGGGCTAGATTTGCCAATCTATGGAGCTAGAGTTGAGTGCCTTCCAGATGAGACTAATTGGGAGAGTAAGGTGCCTCTTGGTACTTATTGGCAGAGCTGAAAGATTCTGAGACACTTGCCAAGGTGGGGCAGAAGCCAAAGGATTATGTGGTTGAAAGGCTAAAGGCCAGAGAAAAACGTGTCTGTGAGAACCGCTGAGATGAGGCTTTTCTGGCTGAGGAACTATATCCTGAGCTATTGTGATCCTGCAATTCTAACTTGCTACTTCCTGAGTAAGGCCCATCATTGTGAAAATTAAATAAAAATGTAAGTGGCTTTTTTGTCTTAGGACCTTTGGGACAGTTAGCTCGTGGTTCACTTTGTTCCAGATTTCTGGAACATATGTTCATCAGATAACTATTATAATGAGTAAATGATAACATCGGTTTTATCTGACCAATGGAAACTGGTTTTTAGTGGTTTGAAAGACTGACTCACTGTACGTCAGGAATCACTTCTACCTTCCAAAAGAAAAGGTCATGACCATCTGGGGGTCAGATTCTGAACTGTGTGCTTCCCTTTATCTAGCAGGACATTAAAAGTGTAGGAGATGCACTTGGTTTCCATTTGCACCCTGGGCTGTCCTGGCACACATGCCTTACACTTAGGGCGGCATGGTGCCTGCAATGACTGTGCAGATTCCCCGAGGTCCTCCTGTGGGATCCACAGACATCTCTGGCTTCATCATGTCCATATTCTCTTCTCCTCATTGAACTTTAGAGCTTACATTATGAAAAGGGGGACATTTACATTTTACATACTCTAAAAGGTGAGAAAGAGTTTACTTTTCTTTGGCGTGTTGCTAAGAGCTCTGGTTGCACTTGTATCAGAGATAAACTTCAAAGTAGCCGTGGGCATTCTTACCAGAAAAAAGGCAAATACTTACTTAATAAGAATTTTATTTCTAGTCCAGGAAATCTCAGGCTGCGGATAGGATTCCACGGCACACATGAAAGTAGCCACCTCTTCCACTAAGGCGTCTACTGTTTCAAGGGGTGTGGTGATAACAGGAGCTGAAATGAGAGGAGAATCAAATGAGAACCTTCCGGAATGTTGCTTGCTACCCTCCAGCTCGTCAGAGATCCGCACATACCTATCTGAGAAGTACATTTCCTCTCAGCAGAAGCTTGCTAAAAGGAAGGAATCTCTTAGGCAGGGGATTTTGTTTCTACTGGATGTTTAAGGATCCAAAGAGACTTTCAGAAGGGTAGATTTTAGAATTTATGTCAAACAAGAAAGGGAATATTTAGGTTTTGTGAGGCCCAAAGCTTATAGGAAAATGTGTTTGTTTTCTAGATTTAAAAGAAAGATTCTTATTAAAATAGGAATATAATAGTATTTCTTACATGATAAAGACTATGTTTCTCACACAGACACTCAATTTGATAATAACATCACCAGATAAGAATAAGACAAGTACACACATGCACCAAGAATGAGTTGAATTTGGTTGCAGCAGAGACGGAGAAAGAGTATTCCAGGCAGTGGAGAAAGCATAGCAAAAGACCTGAAGAGGGAAGGAGATTGGTCCCCAAAGGCACTATTAATACTAGGCGGGTAGGAGGAGGATGTCGTGGGGAGGGGTGACCAATCACAATGATCTACATATAACCCCCTCCCAGGGAAACTGGACCACAGAAAAGTGGGGGAAGGGAGACATCGGTCAGTGTAAGACATGAAAAAATAATAATTTATAAATTATCAAGGGTTCTTGAGGGAGGGAGGGGGGAAAATGAGAAGTTGATACCAAGGGCTCAAGTGTAAAGAAAACATTCAAAAATGATGATGGCAACAAATGTACAAATGTGCTTGACACAATCGATGGATGGATGGGTTGTGATAAGAATTGTACGAGCCCCCAATAAAATGATTTTTTTAAAAAAGAACATTTATAAGGAACAAGGAGGAGAAAGGGGGCTTAGAAAGAGAATGGGAAAGAGAAGCTCGAGAGTTGCAAGCCAAGCCAGCAGGGTATGTGGGCAGAGTCCAAGAGTAGCATGTGTTTCCAGAAGGAGGGAGAGTCCAACCCTGCCAAGAGTGTCCAACACTGCCAAGAAGTCAACTAAAACAAGGACTGAGCAGTGCCCATTGAGTTTCCTGAAAAGGAGGTCCTTTTGATTCAATGGATATTGGATAGTGGAATTCAGCTGGGAGTGGGTTAGGGGCCGATGGAAGAAAGTGGAAAACAGACTTCTTTCTGAGAGTCTGGCTACGGTGGGGAAGGGAGAAATTGGGTAGCATGTAAAGAGGACAGAGAAAACGGAGTGTTTAAATGCTTATGGGAAGCACGCAATACATTATAATTTTTTAAGTGTTGAAGATAGGAGAAAAGAGAAGAGAATGAAGAGAGGCAGGCCCCTGAGAAAGCAGACAGACATGGGACTCGGAGGAAGTCAAGAGACTGATCAGAGGCCTGAAGACAGAGCCCTCTGGCAGCATCAGTAGGAGGGGAGGCGAAAGGACAGGCCGAGGGAGCTAGGCTATTTGTTGTTAGAAAGTGGAAGAGATTCTAACATAAATCTTTCTTTTCTCAATCAAGTAATAGGCTCTTACACTTGTAAGCACAATTATACATCCTTGTATGCTTACAAATAAGCAAACATGGGTACAGTGTGTGTGTGTGTACAAAATGGAATAAATACCAAACTATTCCAAGTATTCCTCCCTATGTGTTAGTATGATGAGTATATTATTTCATATTTTGGTTTATACCTTATAGGGTTCTTAATTATAGCATATGCGCTCCTTTTGTAATAAAGCACACGTGTTACTTCTGTAACAAAAAAGAGTTTATAGCAAGCAAGCAAAATGAGAATGCTGCAGAAATATTAATTTTCTAAAATAATGCAATAGAAAGAGCTTTGTAATTGATAGCAACCTGTAAGAAACAATATCAATTTCCTCAGCAATTGCAAAGATATTAAAGGATAATGAAAATAAAATAAGTCTTAGCTTGTGGAGTGCAGACAATGACGGGTCCAAAGGTTAATCGACAGTTTTGAACACTTTCATTGTTTAAAATGAAAAGTGCACTAGCACAGGTCTTGAATGTGAAGCTCAGCTCTATAATTTACCAACTCTAAAAAGCCACTTAAACACTCAACTGCTGTAATCTCAAATATGGAAAATATAAACCTGATTTTCAGAGATGATAAATGCTCAATTGTACTAAATTGTCCTAAAAGGGGAGGAGATGTAGATACACAATGTGGCCTTTGAATTGTGGTGTGCTGGAGTTGGCTTATACAGCTTATTATAGCCGATTGTTCACTTTTTTAAAATTTTGTAAGATGTTTGCTGAATACAACCCACTATTGTCATCAAGCTGATTCTGACTCCTGGTGACTCTATACAGGGTTTCTGAGGCGTTATAAATCTTCAAGGGCGTAGAAAGCCTCATATTTCTTTTTTTTTAAGCCTCATCTTTCTCTTGTGGAGCAACTAGTGGTTTAAACCACCAAACTGAGGTTCATAGTACAACACTCACCTGACAGTGCCACCAGGATTCCTTTTATTAATTATAGCCATTACTATAACCAATGTTATGTAAACTTATACTCAAATACAGGTTTTAAATACAAGTAACTTAAAAAACAAAGTAATAATACTTAAAATAAATCACTTCCTAATTCTTTTATTGAGGATGGAACCTGCATAAGGGTCTGGAATTTTTTATGGTATACCTTCAAAAAGCTCTTCTACGCTGCTCATGTTATATATTCCCTTTATTGTTTTCTTTAGTTTGTTCCTGTTGTTGAGAATATACTCAGCAAAATGTATACAAATTCAACAGTTTCTACATCTACAATTTAGCGACACTGATTATACTCTTCAAGTTGTGCAATTATTTTCACCCTCCTTTTCTGCATCGTTCCTCATTAACATAAAGTCAATGCCCTCTAAGGTTGCTAGTGAACCTTGCGCTGTCAACTTGATCACAACTAATTCTCCAAAGAGGACAACAACGTGTACGATAGACCTTGTTCACTGGTTAAGCTTAAGTGTTGTTCAGGTCCAAAATGAATTCAGGGGATATTTTTGGTTGAAAGTTTAAAGATGATCTCGGGGCGATAGTGTCAGGGGTTCATCCACCCACCATGGATTCAGTTCCATGAGGAGT